GTCATGCCTCAGTGCCTTTGCTTGTCAGTTCTTTCATCCCAGACTACATTTATTTTTCTCACGTTGTACATCACCTTTCATGACTCAGCTCCTATGATACTTACACCTGGAAGTTTTCCCCAACTCTCCCTCTGACTTCTCTAAGTTTAAACCAATGCCAGTTACCAACTCAATATTCATTCTCTCTTCCATTTGTACTGGAGGCCTGATTTTGCATAGGGTGTGATGTGTCCAGCTTTCTTAGCCTTTATTCTGACGGTGTCTAGTTAGAATATATATGTAATCAATTACATTATTAATGTCATATATATTGAGGTTAGAAAAAACAAATATAACAATATAACAAGGAAAGTGAGAAACTGTTACCACCAAGAAGAACCTAAGGAGACATGATAACTAAATGTCTTCTGTGATTATTTAATTATATATAATATATATAACCTTATATAATTATTTATTCATTTATTTATTTGAATACAGCCTTTTAAAGGAACTTTTAAGAGTGGGAAGACTCACCTATCATGCACTTTTAGCTTTTTGCCATTACTGAGAGGTACATGCAATGAAGAAGATGACATAGCTGTCCTATCACTAAGACTCCACCAAGCATGAGAGTGAAAGCTGAAGATTAAATATGGCTGAGGACAAAGTAAGACAACCTGTATTTCTGAGAACAAGGTGGAGCCACCATACTAGGCCCAAACTGCCAACCTTTGAAATTCTTGTTACATAAGAAAACTAGACCCACATTTGGTTAAGTCATTATAAATTGCTTATTCTGTTCTTGCAGGTGAACCCAAATGCAGCTGAGACAACAAAAAATGTTATATTCATTAAATTTCCTTGTTTCTCTGTAATTAGTACAGTATGTGGCACATTCAAAAGTAAACTCTGGTTAAATTAACAAATACAATCTATTACCTATTAATCTTAATTGGCCCTCTTTTCAATCAAATCACAAATACTACCTGTACTTCTTCCTAAAATTTATTTTCTGAGAGTAAGACATTCCTTCAAGAAAGGTCTCTTCAGAAGGTCGAATCAAAGACAAAAGAAAGCCCTCACTGAAAGGACCAAAGGAACAGAAAGCATTATATCGGAGTATTCTGGGCTTATTTTAAAATTTCTTCTTAACAGAAAAATTTACTAGGTTTAAATAGTCATCTTTTGAACTAATCTAACTTTGTTTCTGCTTCTTATCCAATATTTCATTCAAGAAAAACGAATATACTTTATTATGCTATATTAACTTACCTATATACAGGACTTTATAGGTTTCCAAAGTGTCTTTACAGAACTATAAATTATTAAAGTTGAGATAAATTATGATATATGTATTCAAGGGACTAATAGATAACTCTTAAATAATTGAATATTTTCCATATTGTTATTACTTATATTGTTAAGTAAAGCAAAAAAGCTAATTCTCAGAGTCATTTAACATGAAATTTATACTACAACAAAAGTATATATACTTACATACACACAGAAAACTTCCAGAAGGATTTCAATAGATTATTATGTACATAAGAAATAGTAATTACCATTGCAATGTGGAGACAAGGATGGGTGAACATCAGGAGACCTTTTTTCCCCATTGAAATAGATCTATTCTCTTGAAATAGCCATGTGGTGGTTTCAAACTATGTCCAAAAATTCTTTAGGTATACAAATAGTTACAAGAATATTACAGAAAGGACCCATATACCCCACACCAAAATTTTCCTGAATGTTTCTCAATCTGGGTTTATCCTATGTTTTCTTCATTATTAGACTGAAGGGATGGATTTTGGGGAGGAAGACCACAGAGGTGAAGCATCCTTCTCCTCACATCATATCAAGGGTACATACCATCAACATGACACCACAGCTGCTGTTAATATTAATTACTGGCTGAAGTACTGTTTGTCAGGTTTCTCTACTGCAAAGTTCTTCCCCTTCTGTCCATAACATACTCTTTGAAAAGAAGTTATTATGCACAGCCCACACTTAGAGGGTGGAGAGTTATTCTCCATCTCCTTAAGAGTAGAGAGTATCTACATAAATTTTGTGAAATTCTACATGGGAGATTTGTCTACTTGCCTCCCTTTATTTATTCATTCATTGTTTGTAAAAAAAATTTTTAATTGATAATAATTATACATATTTATGGGGTACATAGTGATGGCATGATACATACATCATGATCAGAGTAATTAGCATATTCATCATTTCAAACATTGATTAGTGTTGGGAATATTCAATATGCTTCCTCTAGCCATTTGAAACTATTATAGTTAACTATAGACATCTAACAGTGCCATAGAACAGTACTAGAACTCACTCCTCCTATCTAGCTATAATTTTGTGTCCTTAACAAATCCCTTCCTATTCCCCCAACCTCCAAGATTTTTACTTTCTACAATACATTCTTTTAGTCTGTTCAGATTCTAAGCCAATAATATATTGCTTTTATTAAAATTAAAAATAAATAAAATGCATCAAAAATTGTTAAAGTGTTTTCATAGTTACTACATAAGTTGATTCATGCCAAAAACTATTCCGAAAGTTTTAAATAATGGTCTACTCAAAGCTTCCCTATGATGAGATACCATTAACTTTTTTTTATAGATGAGAAAACAGGATCATTGAAACATTCACAAATTTGCCCAATTTCTCCCAGCTCGTGAATGGTAAAGCTAGAACTCAGAGCAAGGGCTGCTTTTGTCCTCTTTATTGATTCCACATATTTAGCTAATCTTTCTAAAAATTTATGAAGTAAAGAGGGCAGGTTTTCATGTCCTGTAAGTTGTTAGGGACAGAGACGGGGAGTAATGGGTCAGGATTACTGAATTTAAGTCCATGATTATTCCTACTTTGGCCAATGTGCACACAAGGAGAGATCAATCTGCTTCACTTAAAGTTCACATAACGAAAGTATTTTTCCATGTTTCCTATACCTGTGTCATATTAACTTTCAAGTATTTTTTTTTTTACTTCCTGAGAAAGCAAATATCTCTGAACATTAAGAAAATTCTGAAAACGTTCCATCTTTCTGCAAGATATAAACTAATCTTTAACTAGGCTGAAAATTAATAGTTAAAAAATTATATCAGCCCAAAACCATAAAAAAGGCAAATGTTCTTCCAGTGTGTCTGGTTGCAAGCCTTGGCTCTCTTTACAGAAATTCGATAAGACTGGCATTCTGGAATTAGAAATGCATCTGAATAGAACATTTAATTTGATACTGCAGCAATTTGATTAAATGCACAAAGGGAGTTGTGTGGATTAATTGAATATCAGCTTTGGGAATGAACTTCAATCTCATCATGGGTCCTAGATGAAACGATATTGCTAGTATTGGCTATGCTTCCTGTGATTAAACATTTATGAGGCAGCTTAGTTTACTAAATATCACATTTAATACAGCTTCAACTTATTGCTACCTTTTCTTTCAATCCCTAGGGTGAAATTTTTCTTAGCCTGGTTTCCTAAAACAAAATTTAAAAACTAAAAATTTACCTGCTTTCTTATCTTTATACATCACCCCTTGTTCCATTGGAAAAAAAACAAACAGGGAATCACACTATTTTAAATAACTATTGTATTTTGTCATTACTTTCCTTTCCCTGACATCTTGTGTGGAATTAAAGAATATAGAGAATCAGTATTAACGCTTGGGATCCTGGGCTTAGTGTAAATGGAGCTCTCTAGGAACTCATCAGGAACCCCTCAATTTACTCATCAAAACGTTTTTCCGATTGTATCTTTTAAGTTACTAAAGTTACAGTAAATGGCATTTAATGTTTATAGTACTTGCTTCACTCCCAGCAAGTTGGAAGCAAATGAAAAATGAAGCATCAGAACTATACCCCATCAGTATGATGGCCATTTAGACCACAAAATTATGAACAAAATTTGGGAATTGGGTGTTTTTAAGCGGACTCGTGATAATTAATCAAAGAAAGAAAGATTCTGCATTCCATAATACCTATCTGGTGGTAATGCTCATTTATTCACTCAACAAATACTAACTCCATTCTGTGACAGGCATTATTATAGGTATTAGAGATACAGGTGCAAATAAGCTGAACAAAATCGGTGTCTTCATGGAATTTACTGTGGAATGTGCTTAAACTTGCTATTAGGAGAGATTGGTATCATATTTAGGACTTGTGATATGTTCAAATCTCATACACATATATATATCTTTTATTTAATCTGTGCCATATATAGCATCCATTTTATTTTTGCTGTTAATCCATAAATTCTGTTTCTTAATATGATGGAAGTACTTAAGCATGGAATATACTAGAAGTACTTAAGGCTGTCAAGTTATCTCTAATAATCCCAATGATTAGCTTCCCAAATAAAGTTCAGCTTTCTTACCTCTTCAATACTTGTTAGCTTGAGATGAGCAGCTGCTTCATCTTTGGTAAGAAGAATACAGTTCCAGGGGGACCACTCCAGGGATTTATCCCATCTGACCATGGCCAGATCACTGAGATTGTCCCAGGCACTGAGGACTGACTGGGATGCCCAGATGTTCTCTGTCAGGTACTGAATATCTTGTAGCTGCAGGTCAAAGCAAGTTTTTAAAAAATGTGGTTTTCTCCTAACCATAAAATTTGTTTTTTATAAGATTATTATATTATAATAGTATTATATTACTTGAGGAAATAATTAAATTATAGGGTATTTTTGAAGTGAAATATTATTCACTAGGTTTCCATGGCACATAACACCTTAGTTTTCACTAAACTTCTGTTCATTATGCCTCAACTACATTATCAGTCTCACAGTTTTGTCCCCATTTTAAACTAGAGTAAGCAGTATAAATTTCTTTCAGTATGCTAATTTTACCTTAATATAATCTTAATAGTACTATAATGTTACCTTAATAAATATATGATATTTAATGATTTTTGAAAATTCATTAGTAAGTACCATCTTAATTTCAGGGCCATTGTAGGGACCTTTTAAAATCTTTTACTGCCATTTTACAAATGAGGAAGTTTAGTTTTTTTATGGAACACTTTACAAATTTGCATGTCACCCTTGTGCAAGGGCCATGCTAATCTTCTCTGTATCATTCCAATTTTAGTACATGGGATGCTGACGCGAGCACAGGAAGTTGAGATTTAATAAAGATAAATAATTCACTTAGTGTTAATTAAAAGACTTAGTTGTTTTAATAAAAAGGTAGTCAAATAGCTGTTTAAAACTTTTTTAAAAATGTAAACTGTATTAGCTAAAACTCTTGGAATGACTCTTTTATCATAGGGTCTGCATTATAAATTTAGAATTGCCAGAGAGGGACAAATTCAACAAAGTGTAAGCATGTCAAAAGAATAATTTTTTCCAAAGTTTGTGCGAAAAAGTGTGAGAGCAGAAATCTTTTCTGCAAAATGAGTAGACTAAACCTAAATAATTTACCAAAGTAAAAAACAAAAAGAATCTGTCATCATCAGCTATGACAGTATTTCATAAACTGGCAATTCAATATATTAAGCTCAACTAATGCATTCTAGCTTTTACTTAATGCTAAAAAAGATAATACTCTGTACACAGCTGCTATGAAAAAAATTTATAGAACTTTAAAATTCAATGTTTTATATATTGTACTTACATTCAAAATGCATCTTGTTTATACTTTTGTTTTTAATTTAGTTGCTCAACTGTACTAATAATTTTGAAACTGTATCATAAAGTATTTGCATGTGAATGTCAAATGTGCACATGATAAGTGTGGTTGGCAGTCTCTCAGAGTTTTCTACAAGTAGTCATTGTACTTGAAATTTTTGCAATAATAGAGCAATACTATTGCCTATTATATTTGGCAGTATCTGTATGCACTAAAGATAAACAAGGTAACTAGTACAACACTCAAATCTCTTGTCTAAGCAGAATGTTTACTTTTTATATATCTTAGCTTTCTCCTTTTCATTTTACATGATATCATCTTCACATTTAATATATGCTAATCTTTCCTGTTGTCCACAAGATTTACTGTTTTAAGAGAATGTTCACATATTCAAATTATGTCTCAAATACTATTACTGAAATAAATATTAATCAAAATTACACCCATTACAAGGGGGAAGCTACTGGACTCTTACAATGTCTAGGATTAGTAGACAAATATTAGAGTAATATGAGAGACCAAAACCCTACACAGGTACAGTATTTAAATTAAATCACATCTAATGGAGATTATCCTTATCTGAAAGGTTACAATGCTCCCCTAAAATTCTTTCATTCAATATGTGTAATGGTTGATTTTACATCAACTTGACAAGGCCACAGGATACCCAGATGGTTGGTCAAACAGTGTTCTGGTGCTTATGTGAGGGTAGTTTTGGATGAGACTAACATTTAAGTCAGTAGACTGAGTAAAACAGATTGTCTTCCATAATGTGAGTGGGCTTTATCCAATCAGTTGAAAGCCTGAAAAGAACAAAAATTTGAACCTGTCCCCGAGTAAGGAAGAATGTTCCTGCCTAATGGCCTTTGAACTGAGACATTGGCTCCTCCTGGCTCTATAGCAGCCTGGTGGTCTTCAGACATGAAGTGGGCCATCAGCTGCTTAGGTTTTAGACTTACCAGCCTCCATAATTATGTGAGCAAATTCCTTGTAACAAATCTCCTTATATGTATATATATAGCATATATGTATAAAATTTCCTATTGGTTGTGTTTCTCAGGAGAACTCTGACTAATACAATATGGAATATTGAGGTAGCACTTGCAGATGACTTATAATAAAGCCATAGTAAATCTGAGATTGTTTACAAGGAAATATATATCTGTCATGTCAACAATTCCTGGAGAAAATACCAAATAAGAATTTAAGCTGAAATAAACATATTTATTAATAACATTCATTCTATTGGACAAAATATGTAATCATTTTAATTTGTGTTTTTCGAACTGTGGGTTGCTACCTCTTAGGTGATACAAAGTTTTCCAAATGGAAATTAGAATAAGTAGATTGGGATTGAATAGAAAATATCAGAGTGCATCCAAACAGGTAAAGATAAACATTATTTTGGAAACTCATTTCTGAGGCAGAACAGCATGCGTTTATATGTATGGACACTAGGAACCAGACTGCCTAGTTTTCAATCCTGGTGCTGGTACTTAGTAACATAAATTTGGACAAGTTAGTTAACCTCTCAGTGCTTCACTTTCCTCATCTGCAGAATATAAATAATGCCTATTTTGATAGGTTTTTTGTTCTGATTAACTCAATAAAGTGTGTAAAGCCATATAGGTACTAATTGAGTATTGAGAATTATCATGCATGCCTATATCAGTTTGTCATAAAAATATATTTTTACTACTGATTTAGAAGAATTTAGAATTTTTTAACAAAGCACATCACATTTGGAATCTATTTTTTTAATCTCTATAAAGTTTTCTATTCATAATAGTGCCTATTTTCCTATTTGGTATTAAATACAATTTAGTTAATTAATAACTGTAATTTACAGAAAATTTGACCTTATTTGACAGTCTGTGAACACAAATATTATTAATGAGATAAACAGTGCTCTATAACACACTTTTATTAATAAGTTGCTAATGTTGGCAGCATATCAACAATAAGTAAGTCCTTCTCTTTTCTCACCCCCTTACGTAAGTCCAACCAGTGTCAGGAATTTGTTTTTATTTTGTAGAGACACAGACTATCCTCTGGCCTAAACAACCCAATAGAAGTCATGGAATAACCAAAAAGATATACAGGGAATACCAAAATAGTGGTTAAGTTAGGAATTCCGGTCAGAGTTCCTGTTCTCACAGGCTCCACCCTGTCACAGAGCTAGGAGTTCTTATGAGAAGCAAATTACTGATAAAGTCAATGATCCAATGCAATGATTCATCCAAAAGAACTCTGGCCAGAAACTTTCCAGTTGTGTGGTACCATACCAACCATTTACATAGACAAGTATCCACTGAAAGCCCTTCCTTACATTTTTTTTTTTCCTTTTACGTTTTATAAGACTTAGCTTTCACTTTTGGTGTTATTTACCATTATGGTCACATTTGGTTTACACTAATTATTACTGTTATTCATAAACACTAGTATGTGTATATGCAACACCAGTTTCTGTAAAAGTCAATCATTCATTCAACAAATATTAAAGGCCTTAAATAAAACTCGTACTGTATTAGGTTATAGAGATATAATGGTGAGCAAGAGGGGGGAAAAAGCATACTCCTGCCCTCACAGAGCTTACAATCTAGTGGAATAGTCATTAAACAATCACACACACACACACACACACACACACACACACACACACACATCAAGATTGCAAGATAGCCTCCTTGACAAGCTTCGGCTATAATTGACACCCCTGGTTGACCATACCTGCATCAAGAAAGCAATTTTAGAATCATCTTCATAATCAGCTTCTGTATAGTAGAGCTGTTGAAGTAAACATTTGTACTTCAAAAATGATTCTCGTTTTTGAGCCTCATTCTCAAGGCTAACGCAGTTACGACACCGGTATATGCGGCGTGAGGTGGATGACACAGAAAACTCTGTAGAAGGCAAATAAAGCTGGCAACTGTGGCAAAAGTAAATCTTCTTATAAAATTTCAATGGGTCTTGAGGGACCTACAGAGTGAAAAAAAAAAAAAGTATCTAAAAGCCAGGCCGGGTCAAATACGATCCCAACCAATAGAGCTAATTTATCTTAGAATGAGATAAAAGAACAGTTAGCTAATTCACAAAATTATATTTTTCCATTAACTTCCTATTCTATACAAAATCTAAATTTCAAGCAGTATTTATTCATCCTGCCAAAATACTAAAAATCTGTTATTCATCAATTCTTAGATATTTGTGGTAAAATCACTTAGAAAATTAATTGACTGAAAATAGGAAGAGGTTTTTATTTTTAAGAAGAGTTTAGATTTTTTTCAGTGCTACATTGCATTCGTTATTTCTATGAGGCAATAGCTAGATTCACATAGAAGTAAAAACCCGCTAAACCAATTGTTCTTCTCATTCCATTTATCTTCAAAATAAATTTAGATTAGCTCAAATTATTAATATTCAAAGTTTGAAATTCTATGTCTAAAGCAGTAGACAGAAAGTAATTCTTCCATAAAATAATCAATCCAGTCCTTCATTATGGGCTAAAGTGTCATGAATGAACGAGTGAATGGTGATCATTTCAACACAAACTGAATCAAGACATATATAAGCCAGTCTTTCCTAATTTATGATACATGAGTACCTCTGGCTTCCATGAAAGTAAAGATCAAGCAGGAACAGCGTTTGCATGTGATATATAATACTTTCAAAAACATTTTTATAAAGAAGGAAATGGGCATCAATATTCTATAACATTTTTTCTCTTACTCAATGTGAATTTAAAACATTTACCATTATAGGGAAGACCCATTCAGGCACCCCTCTCTCTCTGCAGGAGAGAGAGCTATTTTCTTTTTCTCTTTCTTTTGCCTATTAAACCTTCTCTCTTAAATACACACACACACACACAAATATTTACCGTTATAATCCCTTCTAATATTTTACTTTGTTCTGAACATCTGTTACGTTTCTGAACCTTCCCTTCTACTGTGCCTTACTTTTACTAAATGCTCCATCTTCCCAAAGGGTAATATTCTTTGAAATCTTCTTTGTCCCATGTCTTATAATTTTGGGAAATAAGACAATATATAAATTTAAAAGGTAGCAATTATTTCAGAGAAAAGAAGAGTGATCTAAGGATATGATCAAAGATCCAAAAGACAACTTATCTGGGTTTTCTTATTCTGAGATTTACACATTTTGTTTACCTTGGATGATTATTTTATTTTCTTGCCTCCTAGGCATTAATTTAGCAAATATATCAGTCAACCTCATGAAAACGAGTTAGCACACCTCTCTATTATAGATGGATAGACCATTCATTATAATGCCATGGAAAATATTCTCTACCGATCTGAAATTGTGCAAGTGAGATAACTCATTCTGAGTATGATGACAGAGGGCTCCATTTAAGCTACAGAACTTAACTCTAAGAATTCTCCAGAGTACACTGGGTGCTTCATCCTGGCCTACTCCCAAAAAGTGGTTGTGGGGGTAGTGGTGTTCCTTCAAATTCTTCTCCC